CCCCAAAACCCCAAAACCCCAAAACCCCAAAACCCCTTCAACTTGGCTACAACTTGAAACGCTCCTAAAATACTTATAAATTCCTTATCAGAGTAATTCCTTCAAGCCAGATCTAAAGAGGGGCCATCCGGTCTCCCTTGACTCCTGGAGAGAAGCATCTGCCGATCCTGGATTGATCCCAGTGTAAGTTGGTGTACAACTTGAACACTTTCAGTCTGGAATCATTAACGCTTACTTCTTTGCCAATACATTTGTTCCTAAGGAGTCTTGCCTTTCTTGCAGCAGTAAGATCTACAAATCGGTTAGAACTCAACATTATCTGTTACATGTTTTGGGGAATTAGAATTTTATAAAATTTTGAGGAATTAATAAACCTATAAAAGAACAACTTTTATAACCAAAATAATCTGTCTAGGAGTAAGTTAAAAACCTGTATTCAGGCCACTCTGGGATTCGAAATCTCGAGGCATTTTGTTGGATTTAGTTAACAAAAATTGATAAAATTCTGGAAATCTAGCAAGGGCATAAATTTGGCAATCATTTCACCAGATTATGATCATGTAGTTGAGATTTTTATTAACATACGCTTAGACCTTTGGATATAATTCAGCTGCTCTCTTGATCTCAATACAGGGCTCTTAGCATACCGGTATGACTGGCTGACTTTCTCTTGTCACATGTCAGTAAAATAGTTAAGCATCCTGAATGCTTTTTGCCAACCTAGAGTTGTATTAATAAATATGTATTATTAATAAATCAGCATAGAAGCCTCCATCAAAACGCGAAAAAGTCTTCAAGATATTAAAATAACCTCCATTTACTTCATTTTCAAACTTATAGCTCATGGTTATAGCAAAAGCAATATTTAAGAAATAAACTATAACTTTGAATAAATCCTGGATAAATTGGTAGACTATTAACTAAAACTTGTGTATTTTGGCAAGAACCTGGCTTAACCAACTGAGAATACTCGTTAGAGTAAAGCATAAGAACTCGAAAGTAAATGGCTATTGGAAGAATGTCCAAGGCTATAATTCATCCTCAGATCAAAGAATTTCTATTCTAGAAATATCCAAACTTCCCTAAGTCTTATTGTGGTGTAAATTTATAATCCTATGTGTGGATTTATGAATAATTTCTCAAGAAGAATCATGAACTTACTCCAATATTTTCTTTCTCCTCTAGATTTACTTTCATTTTCTTGGATCTTCCCAGTTATAGTCCTACAGAAATATTAGGCTTCCTGTCAAAATAGCCGAGCGCTAACCTGGGCTTACTTTTGGTTATTCCCATTATGGGTTCACCGCTGGCTTATTTTATTCCCAAAAGTCGGTAATTTTACTCCATGAAGTTTACCCACTAATCTGCGTTGCCTTGTCCTCTCAAGGCTGAATGCCTTGAGAGGGCCCAACTTTGGTGTAGCACCTTCGTTCAGAAGAATGGTTCTGGTCCTTCCTCCATGTGGAATTTTGGTAATATCGGTGACTAAAGAAGCATGAGTGGCCAATAATAGGTGAACAGATACTAATTTAGGGTTGACACATTTAAAGGATTTCGAACAAATTTGAAATGAGGTTCAGATTTTACCTAAATACGACCAGAAGTGGAAAGTGGACTTCAGGGAGAGAAAGAGACTTGTTAGAAAAGCTGTTTACAAGTTGGGATTTTAACTGGAAAAAGAAAATTAAGAAATATATTTTATGAAAAAGTGTGATACCCAGCTGAAAAGAAACATGCAGTAATTAGATAAAGAATCCTTTTCCTAGCTTGCTTAATCTTCAGCAAAATTAAAGATTCAGAATTTCAAGAAAGATTTGAGAGCTATTGTGCTAACAGAAATATTAAATTCTTACCGTTTCAGCATTTTTGTTGTTTTTTCTCATATGAATACTCCATTTTGATAAAATTTACTTAATTTTCAGCCAACTCCTGCAATTTGGGGTTTTGGGGTTTTGGGGTTTTGGGG